ACAACTCACCACCACCACCACCACCACCACAAAAACCCACCACCACTACCACCACCACGACCACCACAGTCTACCACGCCACCACTACCACCGCCACAACCACCACCGCCTCCACAAACCACCGACACCACCACAACCTACCACCACCACCACCAAACCACCACCACCGCCACCACAACCCACCACCACCACCGCCACCAGCACCACAAACCACCACCACACCACCACCACCACACCTCCACCACCACCCACCACAACCACCAACCACCACAACAAACCACCAACCACCACCACTACAACCACCACCACCGCCACCACCACCATCGCCACCACCACCACCACAACCCACCACCACCACCACCACCACCACCACCACCACCACCACCACCACCACCACCACCACCACCACCACCACTACCGTCGTCCTCGTCGACCCTCCCCGCCGCCGCCGCCCGCCGCCGCAGGCAGGCGCCGGCGCCGGCCCAGAAAAGGAAATCGTCGTCCCCGCCGCCGCCGCCGCCGCCAGCCGAGGACAGGGAGACAGGAGAGGCAGGGGGGGGGCGGGTTCGAACACCCCCCCCTCCGTCACGAGAGGGGGGGGGGGTCGAACCCCCCCCCCCCTCCATCCAGGGGGGGGGTGGTCAGGTTCCACCCCCCCCCCCTCCAAGCGACCACAGAACGCGCTCTTTCCTTCGTTTCAACATGCGCCAAGAAATTAACGGATCGAAGGCGGATGGTTTGCAACATGTGGCTATCGCCTTAGCTCCGCGCACACTCGTCTGACATACTTGCAAAAAATCCACGGGTTCCAATGGATAATGTACCGGAAACGGTGGTTTGGAACGGCTCATGGTTGTCAGGATGCGACTTCCCTTAGTGGAAGTGAATCCTTGTATGAGGTATTTGAAAAGGGAGCTTGGAGGGAGGGTTGGTTCCAACATCGTTGATGAGTCTTGGGTTTATACTGGTCCTTCTCCTTCTCCTCGTCCTGACTGACCTTCTCGTCCTCGTCTTCGTCCTCGTCTCTATCCTCCTCCTCCTCTTCCTCCTCCTCCGCCTCCTCCTCCTGATCATGGCCTTGACCCTGTTCCTGATCCCCCTCCTCCTCCTCCTCCTCCTCCTCCTCCTCCTCCTCCTCCTCCTCCTCCTCCTCCTCCTCTTCCTCCGATTCCCATATCTAATTCCTCCTCTTCCTCCGATTCCCATATCTTATTCCTCCCACCCCCCGGGCAGTGGCCTCGAGGGGGATCAAACAATGACCTGTGAAGCAGCACACGCATTGCGGAAGGGACGCCCGGGGACGGAACACGCCCCTGCGGCCCCAGGCGGCAAGGGAGTGGTGGGCTGGCGCGGCCGTGCCCGTGGGGACACGGCCCGGACAGGAGCCCCGCCCTCTGCGGAGGGAGGGAGGGCCACCTCGGGGCGCCTCGTCTCTAGCAGGGAACCACCCGTCCTAACTTCGGTGGCAGCTCGCGGGGGCCTCCCATGCCATCGCGCTTGATGGGCCTGTTTTCCACCACCACCACCGCCAGAAGTTGGAGGGGGAGGGGGTCCTCCTCCTCCTCCTCCTCCTCCTCCTCCTCCTCCTCCTCCTCCTCCTCCTCCTCCTCCTCCTCTTCCTCCCCCTCCTCCACCACCACCTCCTCCTCCTCGTCCTCCTCGTCCTCCTGGTCCTCGTTGTCCTCCTCGTCCTCGTCCTCCTCGTCCTCCACCTCCTTCCCCCCTCCAGCTTATGGTTGTGGTGGTGGTAGAAAACAGGCCCATCAATGCTGGCCCTTGCGAATTAACGCTGTCCGACGCTCAAGCGACGCTCAACAATCGCTGTCTCGTCGATTACCAAACGCCAGCGCGTGCCAGTGCACGCTGAAGGCGGAATTGCGAGGGCAGACAACGCTCCCGTGATTTGCTACCGAGCCTACCTATACCCCTGGTGTCGGCGGAGGAGATGGGGTGAAGCCTCCTCCTCGTGTGGAAGGCGCGCTAACGAGCGCGCAGGCGCGCGCGCGCGGCAGCCGGCGGGCGCGAACGACAGGGAGAGGAGGAGGAGGTGGCGAAAAGTAGGCCGCGGTGCCGCATCTTCACATGCGCTGGAGAGGCTGATAAACACCTCTTTTGTTTCTCGTCGGATGCGTTCTCTCACCTCCACGGCAGGCTTTGGAGCCCTCTATAACTGTGATCTATGCGTCGGGTTTCGGAGCCCTGTCTCACCGCAGACTCCGTGGTGACCAGTGGGTGAGAAAGCCGCAGCGGGTTTCGGAGCCCTGTCTAGCCGTTGAACCGCGGACCCACATGAAACATGAAAAACACAGCTGTAGGAAACTGTAAGAAGAAAAGAAAACATGTATCGCCCTTGCTGTTCCTCGCTCGCCCTTGTGACCGGGGCTGGAGAAAGCGGTATTGCGCCACCGCTGCGGAAGGTGCTATAGTTTCTGGCTGGCTGCAGCTCACGATGTGGAGCCGTGGGCGATGAAGGCCACGTGCTCCACCCACCGCAAGAGTCCACCCATCCGTGTCCGCGTTGAGCGTGGGCCCCCCGTGCCGAACACCTTGGAGGCCCAGGCAGGGACAAGTGATCAGGGCGGGCGAGTGCCGGAGCAACCACACTATTGACGGGGCCCAGGGACACACAACTAAATGCACACAAATCCCAAGATTCCCAACCTTTTCCCATATTTTCTGGGCTTTCGTCCTCCCCCCCACTGTCCATATTCTCCTATATTTTCATACGGATCGAGGATGAATTGTGTCTGTGTGTTGTTCCCCCTCCTGAACCATATCACCCTGGAGGTTCGGAGGCTCGAGCCCGCGGCGGAAGTGCACAGGTTGGTCGCCCATGGGGCGGAGATGGGGCAGTGGAGAGCCGTCGCTGGAGGTGGGGTAGTGCGAGGTGGCGGCGCGCACAAGGGGGTGGAGGGAGGGGGGAGGGCTTCTTAGAAGGAGGCTGCTACTTGGAAGGCGCCGGCCTTGCATCTACAGATAAGGCCCGCTCCTTCTAAGAAGCAGGGGTGCTTCTAAGAAACCCTCCCCCCTCCCTCCACCCCCCCCTGCGCGTGGCTGGGAGAGAAGCCGTGCTGTGTCGTCGCTAGAGGTGGAGAGACCCTGGCTGCCTACAGTCCGGGTTGTCAACCGCTCGTGCTGCTGCTGCTGCTGCTGCTGCTGCTGCTCTGGTGACAAGGAGTGCGTACTGGCGGGGAAGGGAGAGGATCGGCGGCGAGCGAGGGGAGGAAGTGATAAGAAGAAGAAGGTCTTCTCAAAAGGCAGCGGGACTTCGCAGAAACCCTTGCGCCTTCTGAGAAGCTTTCTGTGTCTTCCAGGAAGGCTTAGAACATTGATCAGAAAACCGGGAGACTTCCGAGCCTTCTGAGAAGGCCCGCCCCGCTTCACTTCCCCCTCGGGCTCGCCGCCGAAAGGTGAGTGCCGAGCGAGAGGTGTGCCGCTTGGAAACAGCTGGACTGAAAGGTTGGAAGCCCCTCGTGGTCGGAGAAGAGCAGCCGAGAGGTCAGGGAGAGCAGACGCGAATCGACAGGTCGCCTCGCGAGGCAAGTCCCGTCTTCGACTTCGGAGGGTAACGTTTGTCTCGTGCGGAGGGGTTGGGAGGAGGTGGTTGCAGTGGCACCTCGATCGGGCGTTGGCAGAACTGGGCTCAGTGGGACCTGGTTTAGTGAGGTGTACTAGGGGACGGCCCCCCCCAGGCCCCGTTCCACTCACCAGAACTGCCGTCACCCTAGAAAACTCCAGCTACGGCAGACCTGGTTTAGAGATTCTGGCAAACTTAGGGGCTCCAGGGCCCTACTACTACTACTACTACTACTACTACTACTACTACTACTACTACTACTACTGCTACTGCTACTACTACTACTGCTACTACTACTACTACTACTACTCCTTCTACTACTACTACTACTACTACTACTACTACTACTACTACTACTACTACTACTACTACTACTACTACGTACTACTAATACTACTACTACTACTACTACTACTACTACTGACTACTACTACTACTACTACTACTACTACTACTACTACTACTACTACTACTACTACTACTACTACTACTACTACTACTACTACTACTACTACTACTACTACTACTACTACTACTACTACTACTACTACTACTACTACTACTACTACTACTACTACTACTACTACTACTACTACTACTACTACTACTACTAACTGGGTCCTCTTACCTGGGGTCCTGGCTATAAGCGACTCGATGAGGCTGGCCCGTGCCACGGGCATGCACGCTGCATAGTGGAGGAGATTGCAAGTCGTCGACGTCCCCATGTATGGCGGGGCGCGATACCGCATGCGTAGTACATTCGCTGCCGACACTCCTCCTCCTCCTCCTCCTCCTCCTCCTCCTCCTCCTCCTCCTCCTCCTCCTCCTCCTCCTCTCGTTTCCACATCGGCGGGGGGGAGCACACAGCCCAATAGCTTGGCAAGACTGTGGCCACACATGCGCTTCCGAAAAGCAGAGGGGCGGTAAGTTGCCGTGGGCGTTTTTATAGGTCTTGAACAGAAGACACTGTCCCAGAGACCCTCCATCACATCCCAAGGAATCGACCCTCGTCGCTTTTTCGTTTGCCCAGGGGCCCGAAAACCTGTCCCGAGGGTCTGAGGAATTCAATGAAGCCGGCCGTCGTGTCTCTGTTCGGGACTGCGGGGAGGCAAACGATGAGGCCATGGCAGCCAGGAGGGGGGGCGCGGCACGGCCAACGCCCAGCGCCGGCGCTGCGGCGAGTCAGAGCCCACGCGCTGGCAGATGAATCGCGAGGAGGCAGACAAGGCGGCGGAGCTGCAGAAGGGGCCTCCGTCACGCAACGTGCGGGCCTCCCGGCTGTTGGGAAGTAGAGGAGGGGCAGTAACTAGAAGAAGAAAATGACGCCAACAGTTTACGTTTATGGCGTTTTTCCTTCTTCGACTGTTGGGAGGAGGGGCAGTAACAGCAGCGAGAGGCCGCAAACTCTGGGCGGCCCAAGGACCTCATCCTCAGGCAGCTCCTGCCGCAGCTCGTTGAGGGTGATGCGGCCCTCGTGCTTGGCGTCCTCCCCACCCCCCAGATCCCTCCCCCCCTCCTCTAACTTTGGGTCGGGCGTGTGCCCCTATTTTGGACGGAAAATGCAAAATACCCTCCAAAATTTCAAAAATAACCCAAAATGGTAGAAAAATCGTCCCCAGACTATTTCCTGACTGTTTTTGAATACTCCACCTGTAATTAGAGGGACACGCCCGACTTGACTCTAACTCCACCTCTCCTCTCCCCCTTCTGCCCAATCCTCCCTTCTCGTCCTCATTATCCCTCCTTCTCCTGCACTCTCTCCTCTATCCGTAATCGTTATATAATTATAATACACTAATCAATTTGGGAATCTTGACTTTGACCAACCATATTCCAACGTTTTACTTTCTTCTAAAGTGATAGAAACATCATGGCCATGTATTCTTTCTTTTGTGATAGCAAGGCCGCGACCACCATTTGTCGAATATTTAAATGTTCTACCTTTCTTTCCACGATAGAAAAGGTTTATAAACATATACCTTTCCGTTGTCATTACTTCCTCTGCCATTGCCTTCTACAGTGATTATTGCATATGGTTTCAGTATCTGTCCCCCCCGCGCCCTCGCATCGGGCCCCCTGGGCCTGGGCTGCCCTCCCAGGCTTCTGGCCCTCCTTCAGCTTTCGCACTCGGGAGCTCTAGCGCCCCGGGCGCACGGGGACCGCGCGGCAACAGAACCTCCACCTCCCCCCACCCTCCGCCTCCTCCACCACCGTCCCTCCTACTCAGTCTCGGGGGGGACGAAAGGGGGGGGATGGCAAAGGGCAGGGTGGAGAATCAGCTCACGTGGCTGATTTTCCCAGCGCCTCCCGGCGCTGGGAGGCGCCCATGTATCCAGGAATGGGCCCAGCGGCGGGGCCGAGACCAGCTGCATGCAGCAGACTTCGTACCCCTCCCCCCCCTTTCCCTGCCCCCCCCTTTCGTTCGGCCCGACGTTAGTCCTGGGGCGTGGAGCGCCCACGGGGGGCGCCGCCGGAGGGGGCGTGGGGTGTGGAGACCGCCCTGGCTGACGCTAGCCCAGGCACGGACTCTGCTGGATGAGTGGCTTGCCAAGGGTAGCAGAGGAGCAGGTTGCCCAAATGCCACGATGTCGGCGCTCGACTGGAGTGCAACGCCTTGGTACCCCCTGCGTTCCATCTCAAGGAAGATGTTCTCCACAGGCGCGCACTCCTTCTCACTGAGCGACCATGCCACGACCTGCAAGAGCGAATCGTAGGAATACCAATGGATGGAACAAGAACGTATGACACAAATTGAGGTAGAGAGTGAAACGGACGGAGCACTCGGTCGAACATGTCGAACATGAAGAGGTGAAGATCACTCTTTGTCTGGAAGAGAGCCTGGTACACGTGCAATCAAATCGAAGCGGCAATATGTTCGGGGGGCAATGTTAGCCCACGTGCTCGTTGCCCCCGTTTCTGCAACAGCACCAGCAGTGCAGATGATCCCCAAACCAGTGCGTATCACTAGCTCCTGCTCCACTGACTGACCAGGCCAAACATTCAGGCCGGGCCTCTGCCAGACTGTCAGACTGTCGCCTCAGAACTGGCGCTGCTCGGATCGCCCCAGCTTTATGAGCCAACTTGCGCGTAAGAATCACATGGTCAATCCACAGGTCGATCTCTCAAAGGAGGAGGGAATGGATGCGAGGGGGGAGGAGAGGAATGCGAGGGGAGGTGGAGGGGGGGAGGGGAGCAGGCAATGGGGAGACTGTGAGGACGAAATGCAAAGATGCGGGGAGGGGAGGGGACGGAGGGAGGAGATACGGGGGGAGAAGGAAGATGAGGAGGAGAGGACATCCTTCAAATGAATCCTGCCGGATGTTGCATGCTGACGGACGTCATCGTGCTCGAGCGTTACTGGGATGCGTTCTCCCCCTCGCCCCTCCCCATCCTCCTGTGTCAAAAGTAGCGTGTCTCCCTGGCCCTCATGTCTTGCCCTTCCTTGCCTCAGCCTGCCTCACCGCGCATTGCCATGCACTGCCTCTACATCGAACGATATTGCCGTGCCCAGTCTTGGCATCCGCAGTCTTGCCTTGCTTTACTGACTACCTACCAAACCACCCCAACCCAACCCGAAGACCCGAATTTCACCCGAATTTCGGGTTGAGGGGGGTACGGGTTCCATGTGGTTTTTCAATGTTCCCCGCCCCCCCCACACTGGAAATGGAGGGCAAATTGAGGCCTTCGGGTTGGGTTGGGGTGGTTTGGTGGGTGGTGTCGTGCATTCCTCCACGTTGAGTCGATCTGGATGGGTCTGAACAGTGTCGCCTCCCCACATGGCACCGAGCTGCCTTGCTTCAAAGTCCACTGTGCTGACGTCATGTGCGTGGCCCTGCCTCGCCTCGCCTCGCCTTGCGCTGCTGTTCCCTGCGTGGGCCTCACATGTTATGTCACGCGAAGCGTTACATGCGGTGGGGCAGTGGGCAAGGAACCCTTAGATTAGGAATCCAGGGTCTGGAGGCCGGTGGAACTCCAATCGACGTTTGGCCATGGATGTCACCGCCGCCCTCATCAGATCAGGAATCCTCCAAGGTCTGCAGCCTCCTGGGCGCATTCCTGAACTAACGCCACCACCGTATCCACCTTCCTTGGCCGGTTGAGCAATGCCCAGCGCCACCTCGTATCGAAGTGGTCTGATGTGTCTCGCGGATGCGCTGGCTCCTTTGCATTGCACTGTCGTCGCCTTCTGCAGCGATGCCCATTACATCCACTCATCGAGTGTGCATTTTCACGCAGGAGTGCAAGCACCCTGCTCAACGCGACAGTGCCAGCAAGCTCTAAACCTGCTTTCTCTGCGCCTTGACAGCGCACTCCACAGACCCCTCGAGCTGAGATAGCTGTACACTATGCCGCGGAGTGAAAAGGTATGTAGCGCATGCAGCTGAAATGGCAAGGATGGCGCATGCAAAGTACACAGGCCCCATCCCAAAGGCTGCTTCAGCAGGGGAGAGCAAAGCAGTACCTACCAATGCGCCGACCTTGCCGCTCGCTGCAGAAAGCCCGTGACACGTTGCGCGGACTCGGGTTGGGAACACTTCGGCAGGTAAAATGAAGGTGGTGATGTTGGGCCCAGCGTTCAGGAAGAAAAACACGAGGCCGAGGAATACGAGGAGCATCCCACCATTGAGGGGCATTTGCGACACACTCCAAGCACCCACGGTGGCAAAGACCATGCCCACTGCGGCGAACCCCCAGAATTGCATTTGAAATCGACTGGCCCGACTGATGAGCACATGTCCAGCTCCAAATCCCAGAATCGCGAACCCGCTCGTAGCCATCGCAAACCACGCTTGTCGCCAAACACTGGCCCGACCTGGACCAACCCCTGACATCGCATCATTCAAGATCGTACTTTTGAAGGACCCGATGCTGTACTGAAACGTGTTCATAAGGAACCATGTGGACGCAGTCCCAAGAAGCAAGCGCCAGAAAGCCGCCATCGTCTCAACAACTCCTGAAGATTCCCCGGTTATCCTGCGGGACCGATCCTCCTTGAACGCTGAAGTTTCGTGCATAGGCCATCGAAGACCGAAAGCTACCAGGGATGGAATAGCGCCGAAACCAAGCAGCAGTCGCCAAGTTGTTTCCAGAGAGGCTTGTGCCGAGAGAGCGGCAATTGCGACGGTGCTTGAGAGAAGCATACCAAACCCCTGCATAGATATAACGAGAGCCATGAATCGCCCCCGAATCTCCACGTCGTCGGCAGACTCGGCTGTGACAGTTGCTGCCAGGGGATATTCACCACCAACACCCACGCCCAGCAGCAAGCGGCACAAGGACAATTGCAATGGGAGGTCAAACCACGTTTCTGATGCCATGCAAGATGCACTCAACAAAGCCCCAACAATCGTGAGCACAGCTGTCGCGATAAAGGTTGGCTTCCGGCCCATTAGATCGGCTACGTATCCGAAGGTGAGTTGGCCTGTGACGACTCCAGCGAGCATCATGCTCACCATCATACTCTTGTCAGAAGGGCCAATCGCGTCCGTGCCCTTCTCCACTTGCAGAATCAAGATGACTAGATCGATTGTGAAGAGGTCATATGAGTCAGCAAGGAAGCCTAGGCATGCTGCTCCGACCCTCCAAGCACTGCTGTCCACCTTGCTGGTCTTCGGGACAAGTGGCTCCCTCTCGTGGTCCGGCAATGAGTCCATGGAACATGCGGTAGCTGCGAAGAGGCCCGACAGCGAGGGTCGTGAAGCCAAGATGGCCTTGAGCCTAGATTGCTATGGTGGGAAAGCCTTTATGTATCGCTTGTCTTAGCTTGCCCAGCCTTGTGCTGACTGCCTTTCCGACGCTACCTCGTCGCGCTGCGTGTCTTCCCGATGCACCTGCTCCACGATGAACGTCAGCGAAATCAAACGCATTCGGGACGGCGCCAAATCATACGAGTTCGACGATGGCGGTCCCGAAGGTGTCGAGGGAAGGTGTCCCGAGGGTGTTGGAAACCTAGCCCAATGGAGATGAACGTGAAAGAATAAGAGAGCACTCGAAATAATTGGCGCGAAAGACTCAACTATAAGCACCTGCAACAACCGTAAATTCCAATCGGATTCGGTGGGCCACAAAACATGAAGGGGGCCCTGATGATGCACCACTCTTTTCTTCTCCGGGGTCGAATTATAAACTCAACCCCATTCGGAGACTTGTTAAGACCCTTCCCCAGCTCCACTGCCCAGGAAAGGTGTTTTTTAGATATTACCCAAATTGTTCCTTCCCCACGCCACGTTGGCTGGGGGTGGGTTCAACCAAAAAAACGAATGGTTCAAATAGGAACGGGTTTCCCGAAAGCTGGCGGCGGCCGCCGAGGGGTGGGCCCAAGAAATATCACAGGTGGGTTGAAGGCGAACGGCTTTCCCAGAGGTGGCGGCGGCCTCCAGGATGGGTCCCTTCGTAAATTGGCACAGATTTCCCGATCCATGT